TGCTAAATAACTTAATACTATTTNATATATATATACAGTAAACTCGACTCTGGCTTGTCTTACACTACCATTTGAGACTTACGTCATCATGCTGTCAATATCCCATCTGCATTTATTTATGTGTTGATACATGTGCCTAACTTGGCACTCCAGATAACTCATCAATGAGCCCCTTTAGTTATCAGCACTTTACTCTATATTGTCTGTTCGGCCTAAGCAAAGACAGTGACCTTTACAAAGCTGCTGAAGCCCAAAATAATGTCCTAGAGCTGCGTGGCTGATTTAGAGCTCAAAGCATTCAAAAATTATTGATTGAAATTCGGCTTGTTACATATCATTCACATTGAATCTGCTGTGAAATGTCACAAATTCGCAATATAAAGAACGTCTGACTGGTACATTTGGGTGTAATTTATGCTGGTGATTATGTGTGAAATTATTGCCACAAAAATTATTTTATATTATCTTAACTTAATCTGCACAACCACAATGCAAGACACACTATCTGTCCTATTAATGGAACAATTCCAAGATACAGTATGGGAGAGGGCTTAATAAGTTGCAGCTGCCAAGCAACTAAGAATAGTTCCCAGTGAAACCTCACTGTGTTTTTGTGTAATCACAACATGACGTTAGAATCTGCAAGTAAAACATTTATTGTATATATTTAATTTTTTTAAAAAACGTATTAAAGTTTATTTTTAATTTAGATTATTTGGTGATTGTCATCTCAGGTCAGGGATGTTGGTGAAGTGAAATGCATTGTAACTTTGGCCACCTCGTGGCAGATTGAACATTTTCAGGCTCCACGTAATGCACAGCCACACCCCAAGGGATCTCGGAGTCCTGTAGCTCAGTGGTTAGAGCACTCGCTTTGCAAGCGAGAGATCTGAAGTTCAATTCCAGGCAGAGGGCGAAACCTTGGGCAAGTTTCCTTACTCCACACAGAGCCGAATAATAATCCCTCCAAAACCAAAAACAATAATAAATTGGTCATTTTCAATCCATGACTGTTTGTGGGACATCGCTGTGCGCAATTGGCTGCCGCGTTCGCCCACAAATATACAGTCAATTCACTTTACAGTGTGTTCTGTGAAGCGCTTTGGGACGTCCTCCCGACGTGAAAAGCGCTATATCAAATGCAAGGATTATTATTATTATTATTATTATTATTATTATTATTATTATTATTATTATTATTATCTGTTTCAACAATGTTCTTATCCTGTACCATAGAAGAACGCCATCTACTTCGCTTATGTGACATTTCCACTTTCACATAAAACATTCTTAAGATTTTTGAACATTTTGTCATATTACAACAACGACTACAACAATAACAACTTGCATTTGCGCAGAGTAGCGCCTTGAAACACTAATTGTAGCTTGAGTCTAACTCTTTATTATTAAATTATTAAAAGCGAAACCTTGGGCAAGTTTCCTTACGGCACACGCCTAATAATAATCTCGCCGAGAAACAAAACAATAATAAATTGGTCATTTTCAATCCACAGCTGTTTGTGGGACACTGCTGTGCGCAATTGGCTGCCGCGTTTCGCCCACAAATATACAGTTAATTCACTTTACAACATATTCTGTGAAGCGCTTTGAGATGTCTAGAAGATGTGAAAAGTGCTACATCAAATGCAAGGATTATTATTGTTATTGTTATTATTATTATTGTTATTATTATTATTGTTATTATTATTATTATTATTATGATAACCCGTACAGATAACCGCAGGCACAATTGAAGTGGAAAGTCTTCAGGTGCAATCTGAAAACAACCCAGTTTTCTACTGTGAACTTAATGATTTTTTTTAGCTGAAATTGCCCAAAGCCATTTTACACAGAAAGAATAGTTATAACGAAGTGGAGAGGAGAGATTTGCATCCTATCCCTCTTGACTAAATTCATATCCAGGTTGATTCACAGTGCTGAAAGGCAGCATTCTAGCAAATTAGTCGCAATATTAAATTAGAATACTTGCATTATTATTATTATTATTGTTATTATTATTTGATATAGCCCCTTTCACTTCAGGAAGTCATCTCGAAGTGCTTCACAGGATTTATTCTATAGTATAATGACTATGTATTTGGTAGGTGAAAGTAATAAGAGTGGCAGTTTGTTTTGTACTGGATAAAACAAGAGACAGAAATGGCCTGGTAACAAAACTGATTTATTTTCCTGAAAAGGCTAACACCTGATTTGATTACACCTTTGCCTTGCAGACAAATGTTTATTTCTCTATTTCAAAGTCGTCTGCACATCACAGAAGGTAAGTGTGTATTTGATCTTAGGTGCAGAAGCGTAGCATCAAAGACAATCCAGAAACCTTGTAGCTGTACGTTCTCAACCAGAGAATACAGGTCACTCAACCTCTTCTCTTGCATGGAGTGCGTTCAGCTTATAAGGAAACTGCTTCAGTAGGGGTAGGAAATTCTCCTCTCACTCCTTCAAAGTGAGTTCAGTTCTTATCACCCGGATCTCCTGAGGTTTCCCCAAATCAAAAGGAAATGCAGAAAAGTCAAACAAATCTGATGTAGAATTTTCTTTCACCACTGTGCGGTGCTGTTTTATTTAATCAGCAATTTTGTTTGGATTACCCGTGTTTCTGATACATGTGAAAAAAAAATCACCTAACAAATGGAAATTTTTCCCTTGTCTGGAATATGCAGTGCACTCTCTCCGTGCAGAGACATACGCTGCTTTCCTAATTCCAAGAGTATTTGTTGCAGGCTGGCAAAAGCCAAGGCTTGCGGACTCCGTAGTGTATGTTGGGGTACTGCTGGAGTTTCCAGGTAACTAAGAATGTCTTGGGCTATCTCCTGAAAGGTTCCCTTTGATCTTTGATCCCGCTGAACAATGTGGGTGTTGCCATCCAAAACGTATCTGGAAAATTGCTTGGTTTTGTATCATGGGAAGGAAGCTCCGATCTAGTAACTAGGAGTTTCTGAAAAGTCACAGCGGCAAAAAGATAAATACTACATAATCATAAGTGTTTGATGTTACCGAGGTCGGATCTTTTGAGCTCTATATGTGGGAAGTAATGGTGGGCAGTGAGAAGCCACAACTTCCTTGTCGGCATTGGTGGGAGTAGGAAGCTGGGTAAGTGTAGTGGAAAGGATGAGCATTAACTGTAATGTTGCTAAATACAACTGTACACCCTCTACAGGACTTTTCATAAATAGTCCTGGGGATATGTTTTAATATGATCGTGGAAATATAATTTCAATTTCCAGTTATAATAAATCAGATACGGAATTATCTAAGTTTCCATAGATTGCTTTGCAAACAAATAATGTTCTAAGATACATCACACATAGGTCTGAGCTGCAAGAGCTCCACTTGCTAACAACTTTGAGTACTGTCGTTAGCTACAGTTGTTTTGCTTTTACTGCAGTGGGTAATATTATTAACTAGCATAAACAGGGAAGTTTTGGGGTGAATTTTAGAACAGAGGTTCAATGTAATACTCTCAACAGAATTAACACTTCAATGACCACAGAGCCTCAAAATCAAATCCAGCACAATACTTTTAGTTAATTCCCGACAGATTCTGAAAGCAGCACATCTTATTTTTATATTGTACATTTTACAACAAATAGCCACGAAATATGCAATATCACAGCAGTATAAAATGATTCAAAAATAATTATAAAATATAATTCATATGGTGTAGGTGGTGATACTATGCAATTGTTGCTGATGATTTCAGGTTGTGCTGTAATAATAATAATGATAAAAATACCCTATTTCCCATTAATACAAGGTATTATGAAGAATTGTTCTTGTATTGAATGCATGAAGTGCAAATATGGCTTTCTATTCAGCACGCCAAGTCACAAGACTGTACCAAAAGGCATATTACTCTGTTTAGGAAACACTGCAAGGCATAGTATCTGAAATTGTGATTTTATAAAGCAGCCTAAGGGTATTCTGGAAGGATGAGAACCGATGCGATAAATGGCCTTCTTTATCCAAACCAATCTTATGTTATTTTGAATGACAAGGCTCCGAACACAAAGAGACGAGCAGTTCCAAGCCACATGTGGTAACCACAATGACCTCCAGAAATGGAAGTGATTCTTTTGCATCTCTTTCTATGAGGAACGTTCCTGAGAACTCTTTCTGTTGTGTTTCTAAAGTAGTGTGTTCAGCATAAATGAAAACTTTGTTTTTTATTGATATCTTCTTCATTAACCCCTTGCTTTAAAGTCAATCACATGTCACTATTATCATTAAACTTAACTTGTTTTATTTGCAGGGACATTAAATACATTGCACGAGAACGGTTGAAAGGAGAAAAATAGCATTCTTGAACAGACGTAGTAAAGACTTACAAAAGTTCAAAACTTATAGTTTTAGGAAAGGCTGAAGAGTGAAGGAAGGAATGAATTACAGCAATATTGCACAGTTTACATTCACTCAAGGCACATCCAAAATCAAATCAGTAATAAAAATTTGAATACAACTGCAGCTTTATATAACGATAATAATCCTTGCATTTGATATTACGCTTTTCAGGTCTCAAGACGTCTCAAAGCGCTTCACAGAATATACTGTAAAGTGAATTAAATGTATATTTGTGGATGAAACACATAGCAATGTCCCACAAACAGTCGTGGATTGAATGACCAAATTATTATTTTTTAAGGATTATTAACCTCGGAAAAACAATCCTCCAATCGACTAACAACTGGGTTCCTACTTATTGCTAGGTAAACAGTATGTATATAGACATACTGATGTCAGTTTGTTTTGCAATATTACTTTTTTTGACAGGAGGGTGACATCCATTTGATATTGGTACAGATCCCTATACAATGGCAATAACGGACATACAAACTGACATTACAGAGTTCAGTACACACTAAAATAAATCATTTTACATGAGTTACATATTCAATTTACAATAATTTACATTAAACATACTACAGAAGCAATTACATAATATTAAATAATATCTGTAATTTCAGATGAAAGATGCTGCTGCAGAGAGCGCTTTGCTGGACTTTTCATTTCCATCATGTTTTGGCGAAGCAGCTTACTTGATCTTTTTGGCATGATGAGCAGGGGAACTGTTTAGGTAAAGGAAGAGGCTTTAGACACAAAATTGCAGTTAACAAACCTCAGAATGGCCTGAGATCCATGCAAGGTTAGAATAATATTCTCGCGATGCAGTCTAGTACTTGATCAGCTTTGTTAGTTGATGGCTTCACATTGACTAGACATCTGCGTTCTTTAATCCTGTTGGACTGAAGTATGAGTTGCAAGTTAAAAAGCAAGCATTATGTCAGTGGCAATTACACTGTTAGTGTGGCAAAGAAAAACACAAAGAGCTTCTCTCAGTTGCTCATATGATCAGCCCTCACTAGTAGCTTTAGTATACCAAGAATCTTGGCCCAGCGTTTGCACCAAATGCACAGTATAAAGAGTATTAGAAAGGCCATCGGACAATATCGCATTGCGTGCCTTACTTACTTTATTTCTCTTATCTTCTTTCTCACCCAATATGCTTTTGGATGAGCACAAATTGCCCCCTTCTCTTTGGTGTAGAATCTAAACATAAAATAAAGCATTGTTATTATTATCTTCTTTAATCCTGTTGGACTGAAAGTGCCTTTGCTTGTAGCAGGTGGTGTCTAGAGCGGGTTGAGTCCCATTTATACTGCACGCTCGAAGGTCACTCAGAGTCCCAATGATGGTGTCTTGGTGCCTGACATATACAGTGTCAATGCCTCTTGTAGGGTAACAGTTAAAAAAAATTGATCCCCTTATTCTTAAGGCTATCAAGATTTCCCATGATATTTTCGTTATTACTTTAATGATAACTTGATTGAAATACAACTTTGTCATTCATTGTCATTGATCTATTTTCTTCTATCCTACTGTGGGGGAATGTGGAGAGGGCAGGGGTGGGGAGAAGAAAACAGAGCCTCTCTGGGGCTGAGTTGGTTCTAAGGTGATATGGTTGGCAATGGAAGATCAGAATTGACTTGATCCTTTGTGGTGGTCTTGGCTGTCTGTTTCCTGAGCCAGGCAGATTGACAGTACTCCACACGCAGTTGACCAGTTACTAAGGAGCAGGATTCTTTCCACTCAGTTTCTGTTAAGCCTTTGAACAAGACATTAAACTGAGGCCCCATGTGCTTGTTCAAGTGGACATCAAAGGTCCCATGACACTACTTGCATGTGACTATATGAAAGGAATCTTCTATTTTGATGAGAAAATGGTGCTTTCGTGTTCTGAGACCCAACATTCTTATCTCTGAATTGACCTGGTGGCATAAACAATATGTTTAAAGACAGCTTACTTACATGACAGCTGCGATACAGGGTTTCAGAGCCTTCTGGATCCTATAATGGGTGATAGTAAAAGGAACCTTTTTCGAGGATACAGAGCGGCAGCAGCTTGTGGTAACTGAGCTTGGCCGTAGATCTGTTAAAGCAAAGAGTCAACAGCACTTCCTTATCAGTGAAAATGTCTTTTAAGTAGTTTAGTGAAACATCCTTTTCTACACATCACTTGTTTCCGAAGTCAGTAAAAGACTTTGGAAACTTGATTTTTAAGATTTTTTTTGTTCTACATCTGGCAAAGTAACTATTGTAAAAGCCAAAAGCATATCAAACTTACAATTGCCGCCAACGACAGTAATAAAAGCAAAGACCATCACAAGCAAAGCGATATGAGTCAATCTTCTGTCCAACAGGCATTGCATGATGAAGGTTCCAATTTGCGTTGCTTGTAAGTTTAATCCAACTTTGCAAACCGGATACTTATAAAGAATCAAGCCACACCTAATATAGCAGTAGAAGCAATGTAAAGGAAACAAACCTTAGGTCCAGGCTTTTTCTGGTCATGAGTTTATTTTTGTCGGTGGTGTTACAGTGATATTTTTGTTTGAGTCTGGAGGAAGTGACAGTGTCACACCATATCAGTATAAACAGTTTTTGGTCATTTAATAAACTTAAGAGAATTTTTTTTTCATTCTCATTGAGGTGACATCTCATTTCTCTTTCCGATCTTTTTCAAAGAGATTGTGGAGAGGTACTTAATTATTTTAAGTCGTCTTGGCTTGACTATCTTGTTCCACCTAATGTGGTATATTTTGCTGCCCCCATTAATTGGTATCAGGACAAGCAAAAGGCTATGTGGAGTCCTGTAGCTCAGTGGTTAGAGCACTCGCTTTGCAAGTGAGAGACCTAAGTTCAATTCCAGGCAGGGCGAAACCTTGGGCAAACCCACACGCCTAATAATAATCCCTCCAAAAACCAAAAACAATAATTAAAATTGGTCATTTTCAATCTACGACTGTTTGTGGGACATTGCTGTGCGCAATTGGCTGCCGCGTTCGCCCACAAATATACAGTCAATTCACTTTACAGTGTCTTCTGTGAAGCGCTTTGGGACATCCTCCCGACGTGAAAAGCGCTATATCAAATGCAAGGATTATTATTATTATTATTATTATTATTTCTAAACGAACTACTCATACCACCGGGTTAATTTATAGAAAACAAAACATGTTAATAATAAAAACTGAGGCTGATTTGAACTTCCTTATTTGAGATAAGTGCATGGTTAGCCAGTTGTTAATAAATCCTGCAACCTGCCATGACCTGTTCTACCCTCTCCCACCTCCACAACTACCTCTTCCCTCGGGCCACCGAAACCTTCATCCATGCTTTCATCATGTCCAGGCTTGACTATGCTAACTCCTTGCTTCCCTAACTTCCCAACTCTTCCCTCCACAGGGTGCAGATAATTCAGAACTCTGCAGCTTGCGTCCTTTCGCGCAATGTCTCATAAACAGCCATGAAGTCAATGACCAATGTTTTATCTGGGAATTGTTGCCAGGACACCAGGAGAAACTCCCTTCCCTTTTCAAATAGTGCCATGGGATCTTTAACGTAATAGTAAATAACAGTAATTCTTGCATTTGATATAGTGCCTTATAATGTCATCGATACGTCTCAAAGCACTTCACAAGATTTTGTAGGGTAATACGACAGCCAATTCTTGTACAACAGTGACACAGAAACGCCCATGAAGCTTATGACTTATTTTATCTAGTGGTTCGTAGGCCAAGATGCTAGGAGAAACTCCTTTCTCGTTTTCAAATAATGTCGTGGGATCTTTAATACCCCATTTGAACAGGCAGATTGGGTCTCGATTTTAACGTTTCCTCGATGGACGACACTCTGTTACTGTACCATTACCCCTAGCACTGTATTAGAGTGTCAGCCTAGACTGTGAGTTCAAACGACAACAACAACAAAATCACATTTGTATAGCACCTTTCACGTCGGAAGGAAGTCCCAAGGCACTGAGTTCAAAGTCCTAAGTAGGGGATTGAACACATGGCCTTCTGCCTCAGAGAAGAGAATGAGTCAGGCTGACACCTAACTTGCACAGGAAAGCTGGACCACAGTTGCAATACCTCACCCAAAGGATGGCACCTCTGATAACACAGCGCGCTTGCAGCAAGGCATCGGAGTGTCAACCTGGACTATGACATCAAAGTTGCCACTTGGGGTTTGGAACCCACAAACTTCTTAATCAGAGGTGAGAAAGATATTGGATCAGGCTGACCAGACTATATAAGTAATGGAGAATAAAACGCCTTTGCTCATGCACGTCATTTATATTTCTGAAAAGCAACAAACCACCCTGAAGCCCCCTCTATTTTCCCTTTGTTCTGAACAGTTGCATTGAGGAACATCCTGTTTTGAGCAATACATGAGATATTAACAATGCTCATTTAAAAGAGCGTAGAGGTTACGAGTAGCTAACAATGGATTTAGAAGCAATAAGTTGTGCCTCCCAAAGGTACACCAATTCTTTGACAATTTGTATTTTCAATTGGACATTATTCAAATTGAAATCTTAATAATGGAGCATTATTCTGGTAATTACAAGACCAGGATCATTTTTCATGCATTATTACTGTGTCGATTTGTAATGGTTCAGATCAAGTTGGAAATTGCAGCCTGTCCCCATTTCCCTGTGTGGGATACATTGATGAGCACAGTCACCATTACTGTGCTAAAATAATATTTAATATTTTAAAAACAAAAGAAATTAATTAATAACAAATTTAAATAATAATCATTCTTTGTACAAATTCCAAGCAGCTGCAGCTGCAGCTCCAGTACGTTGCTGCTGATATCAACTCTGAACTGTTGACAGCCACTCCCCTACACATACTAGCAGACCTACAAATGCACAAACATTGGGTTGCACACATATACACACACACACACACACACACAGAAGAAAAGCAATACTTAAAAACTTGTATTTAGGTTCTCAGTACCTAATTTAAAAAGGAATTAAATCATTTTCAAACTCCACGGTTGTCGTTTAACTATCCAGACTGTCTTTTGTTCTGGTTTTTGTTCTTCAGAGGAAATTCACGTTGGCTCGACATAACATTTCCTCTCTGGTTTAATTTTAGTGTCATGGTGTATCATGAACAGGCAGAGGGTGCTGTTACATTCCATGTCATAAGTAAAGCTTTTTGGACCTCCTGTAAAGTCAAGTCAAATGATATTTAAAGAATGACTATAGGATGTTTGTAAGGATACTTTTGAAAATTTACCATCTACGTCAACTTTCTAGATGAGGACATCGAAGTTAACATATCTAAATTTGCGGATGACACAAAACTAGGAGGAAGTGTCAACACAGAGAATGACATTTAAAAAATGCAGCGCAACATAGATAGCTTAGGTGATTGGGCAGGTAGGTGGCAGATGAAGTATAATGTAGGGAAGTGCGAAGTCATCCACCTAGGTAGGAAAAACAGTAGAGCGGGTTATTTTTTAGAAGGGGAGAGATTGGAATGTGTTAGCGTCCAGAGGGACTTGGGTGTCCTTGTACACCAATCACAGAAAGTTAGTCTGCAGGTGCAGCGAGCAATTAGGAAAGCGAACGGTATGTTAACGTTCATTATGAAAGGATTAGAGTATAAGAGTAGAGAAATCTTGCTGCAACTGTATAGGATCCTGGTGAGACCACACCTGGAGTACTGTGTGCAGTTTTGGTCTCCTTATTTAAGAAAGGATGTACTTCCCTTGGAGGGGGTGCAGTGTAGATTTACTAGGTTAGTACCAGGGTTGAAGGGGATGAGTTATGAGGATAGGCTGACCAATTTGGGCCTATATTCTCTCCAATATAGAAGAATTAGAGGGGATCTTATAGAAACCTATAAGATTATCAAAAGACATGATAGAGTAGATAGTGGGAGATTGTTTCCCCCGGTTGGAGAAACTAAAACCAGGGGTCACAACCTTAAAATCAGAGGCCGGCCCTTTCGCACTGAGTTGAGGAAGAGCTTCTTCACTCAATGGGTGGTGAATGTATGGAACTCGCTACCCCAAAGGGCTGTTCAAGACTGAGATCGATATATTTCTTATTGCAAAAGGGATTAAGGGATATGGGGATAAGGCAGGGTTAGGTTATTAGCTGGAGTTAGATTAGAAGATCAGCCATGATTGAATGGTGGGGCAGGCTCGAAGGGCTGAATGGCCTACTCCTGCTCCTACATGTTATGTTATGTTAAATTTGACAGGATCTCCAGGAGAGTGAAATCTTGTGATGCACAAATAGTTAGCTTGATAAAACCCTAGAGATTTACAGTAAAGATAGAAGCCATTTATTTGGCCATCACGCCTGTGCTCTCTCTCTCTCTCTCTCTGGAGGAGCTATCGATTAAATCCTATTCCTCTGCCTTTTCCCTCTAATAATAATATAAATAGATTGTTCATGTAGTATTATTAGTGTGGCTATCCCAAGTGATTGCAACGTAAGTAATAAGGAACTAGTTGAAGAAATATATCGATCTACAAATTGAATGAGGACGCATGTGGCAGTATAAAACAAACATATGATCATCGGTGCACCTGGGACTGTTAATAAGACTTGCTTTAATGGCTTAACAAAATACTTGGAGAACAAAATATCAATCTCCTGCAGCTATTTTAGGAAGATCAAACATACTAAGAAAAGCAACATCCATTCATATGTAACATGGCAGTGTTATTGGTCTGGCTGACCCACCACTGAATACTACTTAGAAACTACCTCTACAGAGTAATTTAAACTGTAATATAATTTCTCCCACAAAATACATAGTCACTACATTTTACAGTACATTCTGTGAAGTGCTTTGAGACGTCTCGAAGACATGATAAGGTGCCTTGCGTATCAAATGCAAGGATTATTATTACTATTATTATAATAATCCATATATTTTATATAGTCTGAACATATAAAGAGCCTTATATGTTGGGGCTGTGAAACATATGAATCTTTCTGTAAAAATAAATCTTAACTTTCTTTGCTGTTTTAAATTGTTCCAAATTGTTTTAGCAATTAACTTAAAGCGACACCCCTAGTTGCTGATTCACTGACGAGTGCAAATCATTTCTCACTGTTTACTTTATCAAACCCATTCATAATTTTGAAACTTCTTTCAGATCTTTTCTCAACCCTTTCTGTCGATATCTAATTCCAGGACAATATCCCCAGTTTCTCTTTCCTCATATCAAATGCAGCGATTATTATTATTATTATTGAATAATTGGGGTGAAAAGCCTCATCATTTCATGAAGGATTCAATGAGGTAACTGTTACGTCAAAGCTGTTGTGAAACATAACATTTTTCAACCCGCTGTCTCACACTTATTGCAGACTGGATCTTCTAGATTTGCTGAATTACTAAAATCTATAACTATGTGAGCCTGCAACATATAGTTCCACTGCAATGCAACAGCTTCTCACCACATCTGTTCTTGTTTCCAACGACCCTTGACTCAAGCTCTTACCACCTTGGTAACAATGATGCACTCAAACGTGAACAGCTCAATAAGTGTAGGTCAGCAAGAGTAAATTTGTACTTTTTTACAGCATAAGCCATTTACTATTCTATGAGTAGATACAGCCATTAATTTATGAGAAAACCCTGCTTTCACAGCACCATGTTTAGAAACTCAACATTTTTGAAGCGACGGCTAGATTTAAATTTAAATTGTTTCCATGTCTCTCCTGAAGAAGGTCAACAAATTGTATTTACATAGCATATTTCACATCGAGAGGATGTCTCTGCTTGCAGCACAAGAGAAAAAGAGACTGAAGATTCACAACCACACACACCATGAAAGAGAATTAGATAACGTAATATTGATAACAACATAATGTGTGAACCTGCTCATTTGACATCCGGCAAGCACAGGTCTGAGCCCTCACAAGGTGGATAGTAGGTACCAGAACACCCTGTGAGCTTCCTATTGGGAAACCCAGCTCAGCCTGAAATGTGTGAGAGCATTACCACCATGCAACAAGTATCTCTGGGATTCCATGTGTCCATGGAGCTCTCAGTTTGGTTTGGATACTCTTAAGCATGGTGATGGGTTTCACCTGCTGACCAAAAAGATCCTTTTCCACCTGCCTACATCTTACTGCGAAAACTTACATCTAAATATTTTTGGGTGACAGCCTTAGGCTGTGATGCTGCTTACAAGAAAATGCACTATGTATGAGCCCATTTAGGAAATTATTTACCTTCATAGGAGGATAAGGATCCTCTGTGGGCCAAAATGACAACATTAAGTGCATAACAAATAATAATAATAATCCTTGCATTTGATATAGCGCTTTTCACGTCGGGAGGACGTCCCAAAGCGCTTCACAGAACACACTGTAAAGTGAATTGACTGTATAGTTGTGGGCGAACGCGGCTGCCAATTGCGCACAGCAATGTCCCACAGACAGTCGTAGATTGAAAATGACCAATTTTATTATTGTTTTTGGTTTTTTGGAAGGATTATTATTAGGTGTGTGGAGTGAGGAAACTTGCCCAAGGTTTCGCCCTCTGCCTGGAATTGAACTCAGGTCTCTCACTTGCAAAGCGAGTGCTCTAACCACTGAGCTACAGGACTCCACAAAGGAACTTCTTGAAAGAGTCAAGTTAAAATCGGTCTTATTTGACATTAATTTTATATTCATTCTTAATATTCACTGGAGCTCAAACTTCCCTCTTCAAATTGGCATTGAATTTTCACCAGCAAGTACTATTAAATTAGTTAGACTTAGATCTCTCTCTGTTCTGGTTTGTCTTTTGATGTTGTTGTTGAAGAATCTTATTCATCCTTCGCAGAAAGAAAACTTATGAGAAGGAAATGATGCCAACATGGGCCACATTGCTTCTCAGCTGCATCTTTTTCTCCTTTCTCCATTCCTCCTGATTTTCGTCCTTCCTGCCCTGAACGCATCGAATCATATTGGAGTGTGGTTCAGTGGCTGCTGGCAGCCCCAGATGATCATTCTTCGTGTCTGAGCTTCGACAGTGAGTGCAGGCAGATATTCACTACAGAATATGGAAAAGGTCTTGTAGTTTTGAATTCCCCATTTAGTATACCTCTCATCAGGCCAGTTAACCAGGCCAATGTCAGGTATAAAATAGAAAATAACGGAACCATGTTGACAATGCAACTATATTTAATGATTATTGTATACAATGATATTCGACTGTGCCTACAGTCACTTCCCCCTACCCCCTGGTTCGCTGTCTGCGTGCGGGGCGCTATATAAATGCAAGTTGTTGGTTGTTGTCATTTGCAAAGCATAGGGGTAAAATATCATGACATACACACGTTCTTTTTTTCTTCATTTGAATCCTTTAATAAAACCTCTGAGTCTACATCAACAGGAGAAAAAAAAGTCAGTGGTGTTTGCACTTGATATGGATTTCTCTGAATTCCACTGGGCAGATTAGTCAAATTCTCAGAATCCTAGATTAAAAAGTGCCAAACAAAAGAGAGACTGAGGCAACAAATGATCAAGAGGGGGGGGAGATAAGCATTAGAGTAACTAGACTTTTTTAATTTTACATTACTGCAACTGTACTTTGCATGTATACTGTGAAGCACTTTGCGATGTCTCAACAACATGATAAGGCTCTATATCAAATGCAAGGACTATTATTATTACTTTGAATACGGCGTGTAGAATATGACAAAGAAAGCTTGAATATCTAGTAATTGAAGGTTTAACAGATTTTAAACTTTAATATTGCAAGGAAAATGTAAAAGAATTAGCTGAAAAAACATAAGCTGAAAAATCCTTTCAATCTGCAATCGCTCTGTCATTCCCTCGGGCAGCTGCTATCTTGTTTCTGAATGAAATAAAAAAGAAAATGATGTTTAGTGATCAATACACTAATAGTATTGTTTAGAAACAAAAATGAACATATTCATGTGAATTAGGTAATTTAATGGTATGAATAGTTGAAATACTGAGACAATAAGGCGCTATATCAGATGCAAGAATTATTATTATTACTTTGAACACAGAAAGCAATTACAAGCAATTCAAGCAATTACAAATGAAACAGATAGAAAGGCCAAGAATAAACATGAGAGTGACTGAAGCAATAAATGATCAAGATAAAATCCTTGCCATATTACATTTGACTTACTCAATCATTTTGATCTTTCTCGCCACCCAGAGTAGAGTAGGATTGGAACAAATGGCTCCTATCTCCGATGTGTAGAATCTAAAGTAGATGAGGAACAAGCGGTGTATATTTTTATTTGAGACAAAAGGGGTTCAAATTATATTTTAGAACACGGGTTCACCAAATTGGTTCGGATGAAGAGGACCCTGTAGACCATTAGATCTCATCCCTCCAGAATACTCTCCTCCCATCACAGCATCGAGCAGACTTTTAAACAAGACAAAAGTCCTAGCTGCAACCATCCTTCCTGGCAACCTGTTCAAGTCATTTATTTGTTTCTGAGTGAAGAAGTGCATGTAACAATGAATAGTAACAGTAAAACACTTTCACGCTGATTTTTTTTGTGAAGTCAACATTATCTGAACACCTTGTAAAAGTGGAGAGAACTTACTGCCTGTGAAACATTACTCCGTAGATTAGTAAACAGTAATTTACACTGAAAGCAGCAGTTATGCAATTTGGAAAAATTGGACACTTTTGAGATAAGATCGCTTTATTTTTTTCTATATTATCCCAGTCTGTCCACAACCTAATACCAGGAGGATTGGTGAACCCTGAGGCTTATTTCTACATGACCCTCTGATCTTGCTATTAGGAGTCAAAAGCCAAAGCGGTCCAGCTCATTAGCCATATTCCACTCTGGGTAACCCGGATTCTGGTCAACTTCCCATTAGGAAATGACTCAGATCAAAACATTTCAAACCCCTGAGCAACTTCTTTTGTATAGACCCGATCTTTTTCAACTCGCACAGGATTTATGCCACTTTGATGGCATTGTGCCACACACACCGCACTTATTTTATTTGGAGAAGTATCAGTTTTAGATTCAGTGTTGATTTCCCTCACTGTGCAGTTTCACTTTTAAATCTCCAATAGTATTTACAGATGCCTTCACATCCTGAGTAATTCACTGAGCACCTTCAAAGAGAGCACAAGACTTTCCTGCCACAAAATAAACTTATCTTAATTTAATTAAAGAAAAAAAACTATTATTTTTTTCCATTATCACCAAATTCAAATTGAATTAAGCATAATGTTTGGAGCTTCAGATCTTTCAGTTTCAATAACAGACAAGTGTACCAGCTCCTGATCAGTCATTTAGCCAAATAATTCTGTGTTTCTGCTTTCTTTTTGGTCAGCCGTGTTTCTAACATACGCAACAATCCTTCACCTTGCTTAAGTGTATCCAAACAAATGTCTGTGTTCTGTTAAATTTGATGTAGTCAAAACACAACATTGCAATTTTGTTACTACAGTATTTTGCTAAATGGAGAATTATTAACAGTTCGTTTAGATTGAATTTTGTTTTAATATACTTGTTGCTCCTGATCTGGTGTTATTGTACATGCAAACACAGGACTAGATTATTGTGTTGGGGGGTGGAGGGGAATGAAGAGTATAATTTAAATAATGTTCTCTTATGCATGGAAGAATTCCTGTCACTGCTGGGAACTGGGAACACGTTAGCTGTGAATGTGACTATTGAAACAGTGCATTGTGATTACATCACAGTCTTAGTCATGGGCTGTTGCTTAAACAGCATGGACTTTCCAGTTTTTGAGACCGTAGCTTAATGTCTACGTTACGTAGCATATTTGGAACAAAACCATTTTATCAGCCTGGCTCAGCCTCTGTGTCGCTTGTGGGTTGAAGCCGCACGATGGGTCTTTGAACTCACAGTATTGTAATCAGCTCGATTTAAAATAATTAGAAAGTGTTGCTTACATTACAGCTTCCACACAAGGAGGCATTCCATTCTGAATTGTATAATGTGTAACATTATACATGATTCGCCTCCCAGAGACTTGCTTGCAGCAGTTTGTGGTCACCTTGGTTGGGCGTCGATCTAGAAATCAAAATTTTACACACACCTAGGGTAAAACAAGCTGATCAAATGTACTGAAATTACAAACTATTCCAAAAATAAAACTTACATGAGTTACCGGACCCCAAGACAATGGCAAAGAGGACGACAAGAACTGTGATCTGGAGAGTTTTCTTGGAGTGATAAAACATTGTGGAGCCCTGTTCTTGTCTCTTCTGAACGGCTGCAGTTCTGAATTCGTTTGGTTGATGTACTTAGTGGTGAACAGCTCCCCTTTCTTAAAGCTTCTTAAACACAGGAAAGCGATCTTTGGTTACTGAAGCGTCTAGTACCAAAAGGTGTTACTTTTAAGTTTCATCTAAGGGCAGTTTTTGCATCTTCGAAAATCCAAAACGCAAATTCAGCTCATTTCAATTCTCAGAACTTTTTAATTGGAGTACAGAAAGACTCAACGCGGTTTGTTTCCACAAAGCCACACCTAGAGATCATGGACGTTGCATGATCTGGGGTTGGGGTGGGGGGCAGGGGTGTTGGGGGGTGAGAGAGAGGATGTGAGAACAGCTGATCTCGTTGCCTTGAGATAAGAAAACTTGAAAAACTCAATTCTTCTTCTTGATTCTTAATATTATCCATTGACTTCTGTTCAAAAAAGTGCACAATTCTGAATGCTGGGTGAGGACAGGGTTGGGCGTTGCGATGAGAGTCGTACAAACAAGAAGCTCACCTCTCACTTTCCAAACTACCCACGCCAGGTGATATATTTATCCACTGACCTACCAAGAGGGTGGTCTGGTCTGTATTGTTGAATACCAGTCCATGTGGTGCATTTATCCTCCTGACCCTTATGTACCCATCCACCTCCAGGGAGAGAGAGAGCACAATATATTCCAACAATCTACCTCTGGAATTCCCATGTGTAGATATGATTCATTGAATTCTCGGTTTGATTTGGGTACTGTTGAGCATGGTGATGGGTTTCTGCATGTGTCAGACATCTGGTTGTCTCCAGGCTATTGTTGGGGAGTTATAAAGAGAGTTTTTTGCGCAATTGATCATTTTAAGAACTTGAGGAAGTGATATGTCAAAGCGTGTACAAACCCTATAAACAGACCATGCTGGAGAAATAACAAATGGTTGAAGAAGGCTTCTTCTACTTGTATTTTTAAGTATTGAGTAGCAAAAAAAAGCCTGTAAGTATACTAGGCCAATAGCCCTGTTCGCACTAAAGTATCAGAATATCACTAGCTGTTATGAATGTTAATTATCTTGTGGTGAATATAATACAGGAACAATACTGATGTCTCACTGGTCAATGAGGTTTTACTGCATACATTTTCTTCAAATCTATGTTGCATTGAGGTTCTCTGGCTGAACGTTGCTGAATCTAAACTAACTTTATGGCTGTGTTTTTCAAATTTTCTTTATTTGGATCATAAGTGCCTTATGGGACATCCTCCAGACGTGAAAGGCACTATATAAATGAATTTTGGTTGTTGTTGTTAAGATTTTATTTCATATTTCCAGCATCTGCAGTATGTTGCCTTTTGTTTTTTTTCACTCCTGTTACATGTTGTTGCCTCCACATTGTGATCAGTGTGACCGATAATATCTTCACTCTAAAGGCTTGCACATGGTGAGCCCACAACTTCTGTGCTTCTACATCTGGTCAGGAAACACTGTACATCTCTAAACATTCGCAGTGAGACCGTATTCAAAATTAAACACAATCAGCACCATAAGTTAATACCAATCCTGTGCTACTCGATACTCAAAAACACAAGTAAACAAAGCTTCTTCAACCATTGAGTTATTTCTCCAGCATAGTCTTTTACTAGGGTTTGTACACAGCTTTAGACATATCATTTCCTCAAGTTCTTAAAATAATCATTTGTACAAAAAGCTCTCTTTATAATGCCACAACAATAGCCTGGAGACAAACTGCACAAAGAGTTTGACTGCATAAAAAATAAATACATTTCGAATTTTCATAATGTATACAAATATAATCACCATGAAAGTTTGTTGATGAAGTTTTCTATAATTGTTTCAATTAGAATACATAGTTATAAATGATAATTCTCACCTTGTGATTTTTTTTCCTTCTCTCTGTCGAACTTCTATTTAAAACTTTAATTCTATACTATTCCATCTGGTTCTTATTTGTCCAATCACAGACTTAAATCTGTTTATCTGTTACCCCCCCCCCCCCCCCCACCCCCCAACAGCTCCACTCCTCCAGTTTTGGTGAGGGAGTGGGAGGAGAGACATTTTCCGAAACTCTCACTTCTGTTGACCCGAAAACTATCTCTGAAGGCAATTTTCTGGAATATAATTTGGAATGTTTAAAAAATAGCGGCATTAAATATTTATCGTATAACTGGAGCTAGAATTTGCAGGGAAATTCCCAATGGATACATTTCCAAGGCTACTCAGGGAATGTGGCCAACATGCCGCGACATCTGAGAATCTTGAACAGTTTCCCCTTGTTATCATTGTGTCGTGAAGGTGTCTGTGTGTGGGGGGGAAGGGGGGTTTGCAAGATTAAAGAGCAGCTCTGCCTGCAATTGATTGAGATTAGAATTAATTAAATGGGGGCGCGAGGAAGGTGGGGAGGAGAACACATTCCATTGCATGCATAATCTGTTTAAATGAATCTGGAGTTTCCTAGGGTAAGTGGTATTTATACATCAGTTTGTCTTGGAAACTTTTAAGCAAAACAAAATTAATCAACCTCCTCTTCTTTCCATCTCCTGTTGACTTTTGGTGCAGTATACTCGCATTGCCCCTGAGTGCTTCATCCATGTGAAAATTCTTCATAAGAGTCACAAGAGTGATAGTATCAGCAGCTTCACTGACCTTGGGTGCAACAGTCTCTAGTTCTTTCTCCCTTCCCAGCTCACATACAACTCAGAGCATAGATCAAACATGGGCTCTTCATGTCATGTCTGACTAGATCTCACAATGGGTATTGTCTGGACCAACCGGGCCATCAGAGAAGCTGGAGAAATGCATTCCACCAATGTTTTCTATTAATGGCTGGAATCAGAGAGCCTGTCGATGTGGATCTTTTTTCTGTTTTGGTTAGAATTTCTGTGCGTAGCTGCACCTCGTTTTTGAACAATTATATCTCCTAAGCCAACAAAATCCACATTCCTTCCAATTTTATATTTACAGTTTCCATACATTTTCTGCCTGGGGTAATTACCAATGTATTTTGATGTTCATTTACACCATAAGGAAGTCCCCAGTATTCCTCCAATGGTTTCATTGGTAAATCAGTGGTTCAGCTTCTGGAAATGAACCAAACACATCATAAAGAAACCACAAAATACTGCAGATGCTGGAAATCTGAAAACAAAAATAGAAGTGGCTGGGAACACTCAGCAGGTCAGGCAGCATCTATGGAGAGAGGAAAATGAGTCAATTTTTCGGCTACACGATATTCTGATGAAACGTTCTGACAAAGGGTCACTCACATCATAAAGAACCCAGTTCATTGCCTGGTATTAAACAGTTCTCTGCTGAGGCCTCTTTTGTGATGCTGCAACCTGCTTAATGGGCCAAAGCTTATGAAGGGAAAAATCAGAATAGTTTCAATTCCTGATTACCATTCAACGACTGCTGAACAGTCCTTTCGTGTGAGCATCGAGTGAAGACAGGATTCCCTCACCAGCTGACACTCACTGTCCAGGCTCACAAATCAAGAATGACTAATAGGACTATTAACAACACCCATGACTATACACTCAGAATGAGCCAGTGTCTTTATAAGAAGAAAATTTATCTTTGTACACAGTATTGTAGGCCAAACATTCTTCGATATTTGGCTTACGATACTACGTTTAAAGAGAAATGTCAATGCTTCAAACTCCTTTTGAATTTGATTTTGACACTGGGAAAAGATTTGAAAATGTACAGATGAAAAAAAGATACAAAGTACCATTGAGTTCATCGAGTACACCTATCGTGATCCAAACATAAAGAGGCAGAGATTGATGTGGTTTGAGTCCCCTTTCTCATATTTTGATCTGCAAATTCTAAACCTCAAACCAATTGCTGCTATTAAAAGGTATAAAGTGCGGGAGTATGCACTTTAACCACTTTGGAAGAACGCGTCAGAGGTTGCATTAACAACAAGGCCTAGTGATGAGAAGAGGCGGTGGGGATGGGGGCTGGGCAGAGAATGATAGTCAACTCACAATTTATTTCCTTTTATAAATAAAAGTTCTGCAAAATACAAAAGGGCAATAAGGCAATAAATGAACCTAAATGAAGAATCACACTGTAGTTTGTTTCTTTGGTACAGCTGCTGGTTTTGGAATGACCGCGGCTCTACTGATTGGCTCCCGTCAGCACCTCCTCACCTCAGACGCTGACAGCATCACCATCCATTGATGCACACTCCACCTTACTAAGCCAGTCTAAAACCTTGGCATCTTGTTTGACCTTAAACTATCCTTTCTACACAGCCGTGCCATGGCCTACTCTGCCTTCCTCTACCTCCACAACATCGCCTGATTCTGCCCGTTGTCTCACACAGGGCCGCCAAAACCCTCATACACGCATTCATTACATCAAGGCTTGACTATGGAAACTCCTTGCTTGTCGGCCTCTCCAATGCCTCCTTCCAAAGGCTGCAGATTATCCAGAACTCTGCAGCCTTGTCCTCTTCCGCACCAGGCTCCATGACCCTATCACCCCCATCCTCCGCCTCACACCTCCCTTCCTCCTTCAAGCCCCATCTCTAGACCCTCTTCAACTGTGCTTTCGATCACCCTGCTTCCCCCTCTGCCCTCCTCCCTCCCCAATCCTGATCCCCAACTCGGGTCCAAAACTCTGACTGTCCAGCGCCTTGGGATGTCCTCCGGACGTGAAAGGCGCTGTACAAATGTAATTCTGTTGTTGAATCAACAGCAACAGTGATGAAATCGGAAAAAAAAATTGCCATCCGTAGGCTGAAGCGCAGAATTTTTGTGGTACACAAGCAACGCCTACTAAGAAACATTTAGGAGTGGAATTGTGGTTGTTTTCTGTTGCAGAGCAAAGGATGGTATGTAGACACCTCCTAAAATGCTCAATCGTGTTGCTTATGGTTTTATCTGTTGATATCTGAGCGCTAAGTAGAGAGGGATGGTGTTGGGTGTTAATATGATCTCATAGTTTAAGTCAAGTAGCGCATGTCACTTGTTCCTCTCGCCATTCCAGTCACACTGCGGTGAAATAACCATATATAGGCAAGGAAGGAAAAATGCATCACAATTTACACCTCATTTGTTTTATCATTGCATTGGTTTATTTTGGATGATCTCTCTCTTGTGTACTGCTGTTATATTTAATTTCCAGTGTAACCCCCATGCAATGCAACACCTTCCAATTGAGCGTGAGATATCATCTTTATTTTGTCCCCCACGCTTGTTGCCTTTTTTTACTGTCTTTTCCTCTTCTTTATTGGTTTGTCTTTCTCCTGCTTTGCCCCTCTCTGATTCTTTCACTCGGTTTGAACTCCGATAATCTACAAAACGAACATGATCAACTCAAGTGATCATCATCCAATTTCATGCCACAAAGAACATCATGAAAATAATTTAAAGGGATTTTTTTGGAGAGGGAAATTATTACGTTTACAAAATAACTAAATGATATGAATGCAGGGATATCTAGTTTGAGCACTGTCAGTATCAAGTCAGTTATAGCACAGTGATCATCCCCTGTCCAGTAAGTGTGTCTTAAACCCAAACTCTTGCCAAGTATTTTTGTATACACCAGAGCTTCATTTTAAACATTAGTTGTCCCCTTGTAACCTCTCTGGGATCATATAATATGCACTAACATTATTCATGTGTCTAGGAAATACCATTATAAATACGCAATGAAAAGTTCCCCAGTTTAGGTCACTACTGGTTTACTCAGTGGTACTGAATCTTTATTTGAAAACCTCCACATTAATAAGTGAAGTGAAGAAGTGGAAAGAAATGCCCTATTTAAGAGCACAGACTTTATAATAATAATAATAATCCTTGCATTTGATATAGCGCTTTTCACGTCGGGAGGACGTCCCAAAGCGCTTCACAGAACACACTGTAAAGTGAATTGACTGTATATTTGTGGGCGAACGCGGCAGCCAATTGCGCACAGCAATGTCCCACAAACAGTCATGGATTGAAAATGACCAATTTATTATTGTTTTTGGTTTTTGGAGGGATTATTATTAGGTGTGTGGCGTAAGGAAACTTGCCCAAGGTTTCGCCCTCTGCCTGGAATTGAACTCAGGTCTCTTGCTTGCAAAGCGAGTGCTCTAACCACTGAGCTACAAGACTTCACTTTACCTGGATTGATTTACATTTTGTAAGTTCCAAGGCAATCAATAATAGGGCAAAACCCTTTAGTTCAAAACCAGACAAGAGATTATCCTAAAGCAAATTTTATGTGGATCTGCATCTCAAATTAGTTCACTTTGTGCTAACACACTCCACTGTCTCGGCCAATGCCAATTACAAAATTCTCCTGAAAATCCTGATTTCAATACAATATAAATTTAAATAGCGCCTTTCACATCGGGAAGATACCTCAAAGTGCTTTACACTTTACACGAGACGAGGGATTTCGAATTGAAATTCAAATCAAATTTTAATTCAAATCAAAAGTTAATAATTTCCTTAATATCAGGACAAGGAGCACAGCAGGAAACATTTCATTATTATTAACCTTTTTAATGACTTGTAGCATATAAAATAATTAATTCTGATACAAAATATATTGAAAATATATAAATATTTGACAAACAGACATAGAAACCGTTTGAATGATGTCAGAAATAAATTTGAACTGCAAAATACTACATTCAAAAATACACACAGTAAATTAAGTTTATGATCAGGTTTATCAGCAAAAAACCATTAAATTGGATCTTTTCTCCATCGTTTGATGATTCTTGTTCTCGTTCTAAACCAGCTAAATTCCAGCTTTGGAGCTGCAGTTGAAAAAACAACATTTAATTAATTATTTAATTGACATTGTATTGATTTTCTTATTGTTCACCTTCAGAAAAATACTAATCCTTGTATTTACTGTAAAGTGTAGTCACTGTGCATTTGTAGGTGAATATAGCAGGCAATTTGCAAACAATGTCCCACAAGTGGCCAATTTTATCTGAGGGCATTGTTAACCAGGATTTTGGGAGAATCTCCCTTCTCTTTCCGAATAGTGCCATGGATTCATCTGACAGACGGCATCTCCAACAATGCAGCCCTAATCCTGACTTGTTCTGCAGTTACTTCAGTATATTTCCCTTCCAAATAAATAAATAAAAATAATTTGGTCATTTAATCCACGACTGTTTGTGGGACACTGCTGTGCGTAATTAGATTGTAATTGAGGAACATCTACATACTTCAAATGTATATATTATAAAAGCTAATGCAGTGAGATGAAAACTGTGATATAAATTAGAGGCCCAAATTATACTGATAAGAAATATGAACATATATATTTATTGTTTATGATTCTGGATGTAGCCTATTACATATTCCCAGCCATACATTATTCTGTATATTCAGCACTACTTACTTTGCCTCACTGATCTTTACAGAAACCCAGCGTGCTGCAGGATCAGAACAGATCGGTCCTTTCTCTACTGTGTAGAAACTGAAAGAGAGAAACAAGCAATCGTTTGATATGAGCCAGGTAAACACGAGTCTATTCTCAGTTAAAGATCTTATCCTTCCAGAATGCTGGTGCCTTCCCATAGCAGCATCAAACTGTTCCCTAAATTAATCCAATTTTGTGACCTCAATTACCATCACCTGAAGATGCCCTTCACAACCCCGAACCTATGCTCTCTGAATGGGAATCATCAAAGTCTTCCTGTTTGCAGGCATTTAGCTAACTAAATGTAGTGGCAGACTAGGGCTGCTTGTAACATGAGAATGCATTAAGGGCTCACGTCTTCCAGAAACATTGCTTCGAAATTGTGAGAGAAAAGCAAATGTGTGGTAAGAGATGTGGTTCATATAAAGTAAGTTACAATTATTTAAAACGTGTGTAGACAGTAATAATTTCACATCATTCTCTATCACAAACCCCCCACCAAAAAAAAACAGCCAAACAAGTTACATTTTACATTCTTGTCTAAAGATGTTTAGCTGTGGCAGAATCCAATAAATATTTTTTTAAAAAAAGGTAGAAATAGTATCCCGAGATCCAGAAAATAAGTCCTTACATGACTGCTTGTACACACGGTCCAAGGGCTGGCTGAAACTTATAATGTGTGATTTGAAAGGGAATCTTTTGTCGACTAACATGTGTACAGCACTTTGTCCTGATCCTTCCAGGGCTCCGGTCTGAAAAGCAAAAAGACCTTTGGTTTAATTCCACAGAAATCTTTTGACACCTGAAAATTATCTTACGCCAGACATACAGTTCAGTCGGACAGTACAAAATATGAAACTACAGTAGTTCTTTTCTGCAGCTTTTTTGCAAGGTGGTTTGCTCTCGAAGGACAGTAAAGAAGCATGGAAGAATAATTGAGCTGCCTTGATCAACAGCCAAGGTCTATAGTGCCGCACAATCCCAAGATTAGGAAAAAGTGGCTGTGTAAAAGTCTGTGCAGATTGTGGGCAAAGAGAAGACCTGAAGACTAAGAGCAGTTAAGAGTTCCAAGTTCTGGGAAAGAATTAGATTAAAAACTGACAAATGGTGAAATTAGTTTCTATTTCAGGAAAGTGAAATGCACAGAGGAGGAACGTTTAGTTTAAAGACAAATAGAACGTGTGCTCCATTAATAATGCCCTTTGTAAACACATGCCCTTTAATGGTAGCACTCAGCACTGCGTACAACAACAACAAATTGGATTTATATAGCGCCCTCCACGCTGGACGGCATCTCAGAGCGCTTTACAGTTTAGGATCCCAGGACCGAGCCAGGGGGAGTGGGGGGGAAGGTGACCAAAGGCGCGGTCGAAAAGAAAGGTCTTCAGCAGAGACCTGAAAATAGGAAGGGAGGGAGCGAGACGAAGGGAGTGAGGAAGGCAGTTCCAGAGCCTCGGGGCATAGTGGCTGAAGGCACGGCCGCCGAGGGTGGACGGGAGGACTCGGGGGACAAGGTGGAGGCCAGATCCGGAGGAACGAAGGCAGTGGTTACTGTGCTGAGGAGGGAGGAGGTCAGAGAGGTCGGGGGGTGCAGAGGAGTGCAGGGACATGAATACAAGGCTGAGGATCTTGAAATCGACAAGGCTGACACCAGTGCAGTGAGGGTGGAGTGTTCCATTGCCAGAGGTGCCTTCCTTCAAAATTACAAGCAAAATCAAGGTCCTCTCTAACTGTTCAGATGAAGATTAATTCCTATGTATTATTCTGAAAGGGAGTTTCTCCTAGTATCCTGTCCAACAATTCTCCCGACAAAATTGGTCATTCATTTTGAAGCTGTTTGTCATAGGAATTCCTATGAAGCACTTGGAGACAAGTTGACAATGTGACAAGGCATTAAAATTCCAGGGTTATTACTGTACAAGTCTGACTGAGAAAATATCTAATAGTACACGGAACAATTGATTTCAGTACAATGGATTTAAAAAGTAATTCTGGTACTTACATGCTTCATGTAAAGCACAGAAGAGCATCAAAACCAACGCAACTTTTAAATGCATATTGTTGACGAGCTGAACCATTGTGCTGCCTGCTGCTCTGTTTCTCTGCTCAACTCTGAACACAATTCGATCTTTGCTCTAATAAAGGTGGTTGTTGGCTTACTTATAAAAGGTTCTTTTAAGGGGAATTTCCTCTACGAATTGTGGAAAACCATGTGACAAATAGCAACTGGTGGGGCGGGGGAGTGGGGGGGGGACGAAAGAGAGAAAAATAAACCCTTATAACATGCGTGAAGTTAGACTTTTGTCCATGTGACACTGAGACAGGAAATGTGCAACTGTTAGCACTGCCAAATTTCTATATGGTCACTGTTTAAAGGGGCAATACTGCTATTAAAAGTTTGTCAGAGTTTTGTGAATGACATCTTTCATTTTGTGAATAATGTAATGTCACCGATTGAATCTTCCCTTTAGAAAAATGAAATCACTTTGAAAGACATGCAAAAAATGAAGTCTATATATAATATATATTATATAAATGATTAATTGAAAAAGCTGGTAGTGCAGCAAATATCGCAGCTGGTACAATATCACCAACCATTCCAACAATCTATCTCTGGGATTTCCACTTTTAGGTCGGACACATGGTATTCTCAGTTTGGTTTGGATACTTTTAAGTATGGTGATGGGTTTCTGCATTTGTGTCAGACACCAGGCTGACCAAAAAAAACTGTTGAGGAAGGTAAAACTGGTCCATATCTCAATCAGGGTGACAATGCATTGAAAATATGTAGCTGATAAAGCCATTACTCAGTATGAAACAAAACCACACAAGCATGGAAAGATCCAGTTTCAAGCTCCATCAACTAACCATGATAATAAATAAATAATCCTTACATTTGATATAGCACCTTTCAAGTAGGGAGGACATTTCAAAGCACCTTAAAAGATTTACCTGTGTATATCTATGTATCTGTGAAAATCTGTGTATCTGTGTGTATATCTATGTACCTTCAAAGCCCTCCATGGCCTTGCCCCCCTGCCACCTCTTCAACCTCCCAACCCCCTACCCCCTTTTCCAGTAGTGTAATGGGATCTTTATGTCCATCTGAACAGGAGCTCAATTTGTCTTATCTGAAGGAAGGCACCTCCAACAATACAGCACACACCCAGCACTGCATTGGAGCCTCAGCATAAACTATATGAGTTCCAAGTCCCAATATTTTGTTTTGAATCCACAACCTTCTCACTCAGAAGCACAAATGCTACCAACTGAACCAGGTTAACACAAAATAATAATAGTTTGAATAAAGTCTTGCCTATCCTGGTGAAATTCTTGCTATAGAAACTGGTAGAATCACTTCTTTAGAATCTATGCAGACACCTCTGGTTACATTATACTCTTAAACTCATTGCCAACTATTTGTTGTTCTTTATAATATTTGCACAATACTTTAGTTGACGTTATACTTAGAGGTGAAAATGTAATAGTAATCGCATCGAATCTATTATATAAAAAACATATTTTAATAGTAATAATAATCCATGTATTTGATACACTGCTTATAGCGTTGGAACATCTAAAACATGTCTCAGATAAATGCTATCAAGTGCATAAGTGTAGCAAATATATCAGCCAATTTGCTCACAGCACGATATAATGATCCTTGCATTTGATATAATGCTTTATCACTTCGTCAAAATGTCTCAAAGTTCTTTACAGGATTTACTGCAGAGTGTCTGTGTATTTGAGTGCCAGGTTTGAATCCTGGTTCACAAGATACTAGATTGAATTTGGACCTGAAGCCTCAAGGGCCCACCAGTCATTCTGGATTTCACATCAGTTCATTTTATCACATGATTTAGCCACCATTATTGATTAGCTGATAGTTATATCACATTTAATTGTTCACCCCATATATTAAACCCTGTCAATGTGTGAATTCAAATGCCTCACAGTATAAACGGTTTCTATAAATGTGCAATGGGCAGACTTGAAGGTTGTGTAAGACCTGTAAACGTTAATATTAGTATCACTTTCAGTATTTGTCTACAAAACGCAGTCACTACACATGACAGTAAATCTTGCGTAGGACTTTTAGATGTCTTTCCAACGTGAAAGAGGTAAGCATTATTATGTTTACTGCCGAAAGTAACTGCGCAGCAACTTCTGAAAATCCTTGCGACACATTGATGATTTCACAAGCCGTAACTGCCACTGTGAGATGACTAATACAGAGAGTGAGAAATGAGATCATTAACTGATCACGCAAAAAGAGAACCTGTAAATTGAAAAGTTCTGTGTGGCAAAACTTAAATATATATTTTTGAATGGGCCAATTTTAGTCATTCTTTCTAAGGTATTGATAACAGTGATGTGGGTTATTTGGAATATGAATTAATTCCATGTAAAAATCCATTGAATAGAAATCTATATTAAGAGTGATAATAATAATAATCCTTGCATTTGATATAGCCCTTTTCACGTCTTCTCGACGTGTCAAAGCACTTCACAGAATATACTGTAAAATGAATTGACTGTATATTTGTGGGCGAAATGCAGCAGCCAATTGCGCACAGCAGCGTCCCACAAACAGTCGTGGTTTGAAGTGACCAAATTATTATGGTTTTATTTTCTGGATGGATTATTATCAGGCGTGTGGAGTAAGGAAACTTGCCCAAGGTTTTACCCTGCTGGGAATTGAACCCAGGTCTCTCGCTTGCAATTCCTGGTAATGATTATAAGGCAGAATTCTAATGTAGAGACTCAGACAATAATAATCCTTGCATTTGATGCATGTCTCAAATCGCTTGATGGCATTTACAAATTACATTCAGTGGCGTACCTACAATGGTACGGGTAGTGTAATCACACCAGGGCCCATGAGGTTATGGGGGAACAGGGTGCTGAAAGTGTGGTTGTAAGGGTACTCTTAAAGGTGGCTTTTACAGTCAACGAGGGTGTTAGTAGCACTGAATCAGAATATCACTCTTGACTGTGAGTCAAAGGCATTTGGGACTTCAATCCACAACCTTCAGCCTCAAAGACGAGAGTGCTACCAATTGAGCCAGGCTGACACCTTTATCATAACCTCATTTTGTAACCACCACTGGAGCCTCCGCTGACATCGAATTCAAACTTCACTGAGAATGTGCATGTGTGAATATTACAAATCAAAATTTATGATCAAAAGGTTTGTTGCTTTTTGATACCATCTGCTTTGGTGGTCGCCGATGGTCAGTGTGCTCCAGATTCTTGATGCATTGTAGCATTCACCGCTAAGGGTTAACATTCTGTGAGATCGCTGCGAATGAAACTCTTAGCACAGCAAAGGATTTCCACATGTATCAAAACTAAAAGTAGCGAGTTTCATTGAAACTTGTCGGAAGATGATGATTCAAATGTTTGCATATTATAACACTAAGATACAAGTTCGTCATAGTCACATTCACGGTCAGTCTGAAAACCAAATCCATTTGCTGAGTATTAGCTATGGTTTCAGAATTTCTCCAGCATTAAACAAATGATCTTATGTAATGTGACTATTAATAAGTGACCCAGCTATTTTTTTATTCAAGTGAACCGCTTAAAATAGGAAGTTTTGACCTTTAACGCCATATGTTTGAGGTGACTGATACTTTAAGAATATTCAAAATTCATTCTTGTGCTACATAGCAATAATGGATGAGCTACTCCACAGACAAAACATACCCTGTTGATCAGAAATAAGGCAGCAATATTCTGAATGTGGTTTTCAAGGGAGTAACTTGAATATGTCCTAGCCTGTCAGAGGAAAGCAGAAGCAATGAATGGACATGAATCGAAAGCACCATTTTCTTGCGAAGCTCCATGCAATATATGGTATTACCCTGTGACGGTTGTTGATTATCAACAACAGACATCAATAGGGGCACCAAGGAATAGTAGATAAAGACACCCTAGAAAGGGAATAACCTTGACCCTAACCTGAAAAGGTGCAACATAACAAAGAATTATGGTTTGATGTCCTGGTTGCTAAATTGTGCCCTAGAGTTAGTTAACTGACTACACAGAGGCCAAAGAGGTGACTTCCCATGTGGTGAGTGTCAGATCACAGCCACGAGTTCATAATCATATGTGCGGCGTCAAATTTCTAATTGCACAACTGTGTTATTATTAGAAAAAAAGATTTGTCATGGGTTTACTTTAAAGATATATAATGAATGGAAAACACAATGGAACTATTATCACAAGCTCTGAAAAATATTACCAAAAAAACACAATGGAAAATTAACAAAATTGCATTTATATAGCACCTTTGGCATAAACTTTTTAAACATTTCATCTGGACTGATCTGATGTCATTTATTCCCAAATTAGTAAATGATGAAATTGCGCATGAGTAATACCAATGCAATGTTTTAATTCCCCTTGGGTTTTTCTTTAAAATTTTTAAAGGTGGGAAAGCAGGCAGGCAAAGCTGTGTTGATTGCTAATAGGTTCTTAAGTTTTATTAATTGGGGAATAGAATATAAAACAACAACAACAACTTGCATTTGTATACCTTCATGCGGGGTAGTGTCCCAGAGCGTTTGAGTATAAATATAGAATTTAAAATAAAAAAGGTGATTTTTAACACAGAGAATGGTTAGGATTTGGAATGTTTTGCTGGATGCAATGATCAAGACAGAATCTACATTAGCTTTCAAGAAGAAACCATATAGATATTTACAAAGGAGTAATTTGCCAGAGTATGGGGAGCAGGCAGGGAAAAGGAACGGAAATGGGTGAGTTATTCTTGGTAACAATGATACATCGTGTATTTATACTTAGCAATATACTATTGCTAAGCTTTACCAGTAGGTAACATATATTTACATTTGTAATCGCTTTAACATTATAGACCATTGGATTTGATTAAGTTGATTATTATGCTGTTTTAATTATGTATTCTCTTGATATTGGAAGTTATTTAAGATTTGTACTGTTATAACTTTTCAAATAAAATTCTGCTGAAAAACTTTGTAACCTTGATAGAAATGAATATTAATCAGAATTCTGAGAGTGGGGTAGAGACAGAATTGTGAAGGGCAGCATTTGATTGCAATAGTTGCTTGTAAGAAAGTATGGCGGATGAAAATTCTAATGCGATTGGAAAGTGATGATGAATTGAAAGAAGGGTTTCGAACACAAGATCAGAAACCTGTTGTCAAAGGTGTATATGTATTGGTTACCAATTAACCTAAAGTTGAAACAGCCTCCATAGAATAGAAGACAATAATAACACTGTTTCCCAGATCAGTAAATATGCCTTTCTATACATGCACATTGTTTTAC